TCATATCGAATTTGATAATTACAACGGCTATTTTTTCAATGGTTTTTTGCCGTAGGAATTTCGGTTGAAATTTTTATTTTCACCCTCGTTGGAAATCTATCATTAGAATCTTTAAAGTCCAACAAAAATTGATTCTCATGAAAAACTCATTCCAACAGAATATTTTTGTTGGAATTTCAGTTAGAATCTATTGGAAAATTTCCAACGGAAATAATAACATTGAAATACCTATTGAAATTGATGTTAAACTTCCATTTGAATGTGTTTTCGTTAGAATATTTTATTAAATTTTTATCATTTTCTTGTAGTGATTATATTCAACTGAATGTTTATTTCATTATTATTATGTAACAAATACCTTTCAACATGATGTTTATTAGTTTATGGTAGGATATATATGCACCCTATAAAAAAAAATTTATGTTCCAACAAAAAATCTAACTGTAATATATTCAAATGAGAATTGCAATGAAAATCCAATGGTACTGCTTATTTTAAAATAATTCCAACAAAAAATCCAACTGTAATATATTCCAATGAAAATTGCAATGAATATCCAATGATACTGCTTATTTTAAAATAATTCCAACATAAATTTCAGCTAAAAATATTTCGTTGGAATTTTAGATAAAATTTGATAATTTCAACGACTATTTTTTCAACGATTTATTACCGTAGAAATTTCATTGCAACTTCTATTTCCATCCATATTACAATCGCTGAAAATATACCACTGAAATGTCAAAAGCCAAACAAGAATTTCAATGAAAATTTCATTCCAACATATATTTTAATTGTAATCCATCAAAAAATTTATTTGACAATAATAGTATTAGAATATCCATTGAAGTATATTTTTATTAGAATTTTTTATTGAAATTTCATCATTCGTTTGTAGTATTAATTTCAATTCGGTGGTTAGCGTGATGTTCTTATTTTTCTCTAAACGACAATTCAAAATAATTGACTATTAAATCTTTGTATGCTCTCTAACTACTAGTCTACTACGATATGGACCTCCATGATGTATTGTTAACCATTATAAAAATGATTTTTCTTTGAATGTGATAATTTTATTTAAATTGTTATAATTTAAGAAACAATGTAAATAATACACTAAAACCAGTTAACAGTAGCAAACACAATAAAAAAAAAGTAAAAAAAAAAAATGTAAAATATTAAAAAAAAATAACTCCAAAAAAACATTCTTTCAACAATGTACGCTACCATTTTATTTTTTAATATAATAATATAAATTTAAATATATTTGAGTTTATGTATCAAATATATTTAAATTTATACTTTTATTATATTAAAAAGTGTATAATTATTTATTAACTTATTTAAAAAAAATATAATTTCCCTGTTCATCAACCATTTATGACTGATTCATTGGAAACTAGTTCGTTCAAAAAAATCGAACTGTTTAATTGATTGGCTCTCAATCCAACAACAGTTTGATTCGGTTCTCAAAACAATAGTAGTTGATATTATTTAAATTGTATTGTATTTTTATTTTTGAAAATTTATTGAACTCTACAGTAATATTTTTTTTTTATTTTTATTAGCCACTATAATTATAATAAAATTAAATAATTATTTTTATAAATATATTTATTGTTAATTAAAAATAATAATTTGAAATATAGAAAATATTGCATAGTAATTAATTTTTTTCTTGTCTCAAACAAAATTTATACTATCAAAGATTGTTGTATACTTACGGCATCAAAAGTGCAACAAAAAAATAATGAAGAACCATTTTTACAACATTTCAGACCAAATTCGCAACACGGCCAATCTTGAGAACTAAATTTATAATTTATTCTATCTCAACCTAACAACTAAGGGCGCACAAATTCAACGTTTTAGTTTTGATGGGACTGAGACAAAATCTGTAACAAAATTTTAAATCAACTAATTTTAAGATTTATGAAACCAATTTTTCAACACTCTCAATTCTTTTTTTTTTTTTNNTTTTTTTTTTTTTTTTCTCAAAACGATAAATATAACAAAAACGAAAAACTCAAACGAGTACATCCAAAGTGTCAAATTACACCCTAAAAACCAAAAAAAACGATGAATCCACCCCTCTACCGGACCAAAATTTACAATTTTCTTTGGAAAGATCATAATCTCGTCCGTTTTATTATCACTAATAAAAAGTAAAAACACATATAATAATACGAAATTAATCAAACCATTCAATTCAAGAGCACCTTCGGCGCAGCTTCCCCCACTTCAAATAAAAACAAAGCAAGAAATTTGAACATCCTCACTTTTTTTTTTTCGCATTGTTTTGTTTATGAGAAAATCACTTTCCTCAGCCAAAAAACTCCACCAATTTGCTCGCTTCATCAATTCCCCCAGCCGCCCTGTATCCAAATCTCGATCCTCATCCTCGGCCGAATCCGCCAGGTGGAGACCCGAGTCCCACCAGGTGAGGCTGACCACGCGGACGATGGAGGCGGCGGAGAGCTCGGAGGGTCTGCGGCGGACGCCGCTGGCGGAAGTGGTGGCAGACTGTGTCCAGCGGTGGTTCCAGGACACGCTCAAGGAGGCCAGAAACGGCGACACGGGCATGCAGGTGCTTGTGGGCCAGATGTACCACAGCGGATATGGAGTAGCTAGAGATGTCCAAAGGGTATATTTCTTCTTTTAATTCATTTGTTTCTCTATTGTGTGTTTGTGTGTGTGTGTGTTTGACCAATGAATGTAATTGTTGATTGCTCAACTTGTTGGTATTGAGGTATTCAGTGAAAATATTGGACAGAATTGGAATGGTGAATTGGACCTCAGTGTTAATTGGGTTATGTCAGGAGTTCTTCCTTGTAAAAATTTACTTTCATCATGAATTTCTCAATTCTGCAATTTATTTCATGACATAAAGTGAGATTTTGTTCTATTAACTCACCTTTCTTTTAGTTTTCTCTTCTTTTGCCAAAAAAAAGATGTCATTCTTAAGCTATTTGCTAAGTTTTGCGAACGAGGAAAGGCATTGGAGCAATCTTGTCTAGGTTTATGGATATTGTTATAAGTTTGGGATTTTGTGTGGAGAAGTGTTGGGAGAAGGTTTCATTTGTGGCTTTTGATTCTAGGGAAAAGCATGGATTAGCAGGGCTGCAAAGAGTCGGTCGTCTGTGTGGAAAGTAGGCGATAAGCATCCAGGTGATTGATCTTTTTGCTGTGTACTTAAAATGTCAGTGGCTCCATTTGTTCATTGTCTTGTTTACAACAACAACAACATACCCAGTATATTCTCAACTTTGGGGTCTGGGGGGTCAGTTGTACGCAGACCTTACCCTTGTAATTATACAAGGAGGCTGTTTCCGTAGCGACCCAAGGTGCATTGCGTCGTTTGATATATTTTTTTTTT